TGGAAATTACACATGGTTGCAAGAAAGGTTTTTGCCTTGAATGGAAATGTATTCAACAGAAGGGTAGCCATGGCAAGACCCATAGAAAGACATACATGAAAGGTGAGTTTAGCAATGCTATCACCATAATACATAATGTCAGGATCTAACCTACCTAGCTGCTTTCTCCCAGACTTGTGTAGAACAAGGAATAGCTCCGCAATTCGTAGATCAAGCTGGAAACTGCAGTGCTTGTGGGAATAAGATACTTTGCTATCAAAGTCAGCCAGAGTGGTGCAGCTCCACTCTCAGCCAACGACTTCTCCCTCATGTCTCATGGCTTCAAGCACGACCATGCAGATGGGCCTCATAGCTCAGGCTGCGTTGGTGGCAACTTGGAGCAAGGTTCACTCAGTAACTACAAATGTTAAATAGTTTTGGCAAGTGGTAAATGAAACTGTTTCATATGCACTAATATTTAGCACCAAAGGGAATACTTTTTATCATCAGAAAAATGAACTTATCTCGTTTCCTAGGAAGATGGAGTCCGGCAACGCTTAGGGACAAGGTCCTTGGCCTCTGTAGAGATGCGAAAAAAATACCCTGTCATATAGTCAACAACTGATTAAGAGGTGGTATTGTCACTGCCTGGCCAGTGTCTCACCCAACCCTGTTCCCATCACCCGGGTGCGTGGTAACTGCAACTCTTCCATGATGTGCGTTACTCACACCGCTGAGTCCACTGCCATCAGCAAGATGCTCCAAATGCTTGCACCTTCCCTTTGCTCAAGGTGTCTGTAGAACGTGAATGGCAGAATTAGGAAAAAAACCCCTTTGACTTCCTAGCTGTTATTCTGAATCTTGGATAATGTTCTCACCATTGCCTGTCCCCACTGTCTCTACAGCTATGTCATGGTTTAACCCCAGCTGGCAACTCAGCCCCACGCAGCCGCTCGCTCACTCCTCCCCGGTGGGATGGAGGAGAGAATGGGAAGAGTAAAAGTGAGAAAACTTGTGGGTTGAGATAAAGACAGTTTAATAGGTAAAGCAAAAGCCGCGCACACAAGCAAAGCAAAACAAGGAATTCACTCACTCCTTCCCATCGGCAGGCAGGTGTTCAGTCATCCCCGGGAAAGCAGGGCTCCATCACGCGTAACGGTTACTTGGGAAGACAAACGCCATCACTCCGATCGTCCCCCCTTCCTTCTTCTTCCCCCAGCTTTATGTGCTGAGCATGACGTCATATGGTATGGAATATCCCTTGGGTCAGTTGGGGTCAGCTGTCCCAGCCGTGTCCCCTCCCAACTCCTTGTGCACCCCCAGCCTCCTCGCTGGTGGGGTGGGGTGAGAAGCAGAAAAGGCCTTGGCTCTGTGTAAGCACTGCTCAGCAGTAACGAAACCATCCCTGTGTTATCAACACTGTTTCCAGCATAAATCTGAAACATAGCCCCATACTAGCTACTATGAAGAAAATTAACTGTACCCCAGCCAACATCAGCACAGCCTGAGATGAGTAAATGGCACGAAGGCAGGTAAAACGCGCTGAATGTTAAACGTTTTGTACTGGAAATGAAATCTGGCTACTGCGGCTCATCTATCTCATTTCTAGATTTTTTTTTTTTTTCTAGGCAGGTTTAGGCCTTATCTGCATGGAAACCTCAAGGGAAAACCAGGGGTTAGTTTTCAGTCAGCAGAGCCTTTTTTTTTTTTCAGAAGCTCCCATAGATGTCCTCTTAAAATGAGGAAATAGCAAACCCGTAAGCTGGGAAGTAAATCCCGAGTCTCTTCCCAAGCTGTCTGGTTGTGCTAGGATTCCTTATCATTCGGTTTTATTTTTCTGATAATTCATTGACAGATGACTCTAACACAGATCAATCACAAAAAAAAAAAAAAAGTTGAAAAAAAAATCCAGCATATTAGAAGATGGTTCATCTCTGTAGATGAAACAACCAGCTCTACCTTCCGTTTTGAATAAATTCAGATGTTAACTGAAGTGACCTGGCTTATTTCCAGTTTACAGTAATTCTATTCCACTTAGCTGAAATTCTCCTTTTAGTACAACTCTGATGAAATGTTTGTCATCTCTCAACTGCCTGCAATGGTTACAAAGTGCTACAGGAGCAAGAAATGGCAGCAGCAAGTAAAGTGATTTCTTTATAGGCAGTGATAAAATTTTCAAGAGCATCTTCCGCTGGCGTGAGTCTGTTTCCCTGGAAGAAACACGGAATTTCCACAGACTCAGACGGGAGCTGAATTAAGCCGAAACAGGTGCTTTTGTACATCCCAATGCTCCCCCAGCATATTCTGTATTGATATGTTGAAGTCATTCAGATTATTAGTTGGCTGGAAAGACAGAATGTACACACAAGAGAAAAAAATGAAGCTGGAACCCTAAAAATCTGTATTATTAAATGAGAACAGCGAGAGTATATGATAAGGGCAGTTTTATTTTCACCATGATGGTTTGTTTTTAGTTTCCTTTGATGCCATACTTTGCCTAATGTTTTTCTGGAAGAGAAGTGGCTTGAAATCTCCTGTGAAAGTAAAGAAGCAGAGAGATGAAGCTAAAAATGCTCCTTGTATTTCAAGTAGTGTTTTGGTACAGCTGTTCGGCAAGCACTGTAAATATTTACTGCATTTTCTTTCAAGGCTCAGAGGCTTCTTTTATAAGCTTATCTCCTTTATTGCTCCAAAGCAAAAACCAACACTTCCCTATGCATATACAATGCGTTACTAACTGAATCCAGCCCGGAAACTCCGGTGGGATGTCTGTGTCTTCCGAATGTCCCAACCTCTCGCACGGAGTCGGAAAGTGGAAGCCACCTTCCTCTTTATTGTAGCAGCAGTTTAATGACCAGGAGACGTTTTTTTACCCCTGCACCTGTAGGCTGTGTTAAATTTATTTATTTTTTACTACATTATTTAGGTACTTTGTAATCCTTCAATAAAGTAGGAAATGTCGTAAATACGAAGCGTCATCCCATAAAATCATACTCTCTAAGGGTGGCAGTTGGGGATCACATTCATGATCTGGTGTATTCTTCCAGTAGGAAAGCGGCAAGTGGAACTGATGCTCAATTAAAAGATGAGATTAAGAAATTAAATAACTGCAAGTATCCTATTCATCAAAAGACCAAGGACCTTCTGCAGATAGAAGAAAAAACCCAAACTATTCTCCAAATGATTTAAGAAGCCGACAAATAAGGAGAGGTTTATTAATCATTGTGGTCTAATCTCATTTAACGGGAAGAAGTGAGGGGGTTTTGCTAATACATGAAAGTGGGACCCAAAGGTGACAGAGTTTTTTTGTAGTTCGTGGATGGATCTACACCTCTCGGTTAGTTTCGGAGGATGGGGATGCAGTTAGAGATTCTTGAACAGCAGCTTGCTTTTGTTCCTAAGCAATATCTAAGAGAGAGTGCACGCCAAAAGGCAAGTGCAATTCGTGTTCTTTTAAAATAAGTTATCCTGTCTAATAAAAGGTAGAACTTTTCTGTTATTCAGAGCTGGAAGATGTCCTGATCTACAGTTCAGATACAATTAACAGTTTCATTTCACATCATTCTTTTTCCTCATAAGTGAATATCTGAATCACACACTGAAAAAAGCAACTACAGACCACTTCTATAAACCCAGTTACAAGCAGGTGGTGCAGAGAAATTGGAGAAAAAAGCCTTGCTTTCTCCTGGTTTTCTAACAGAATGATTTTTTTCCCAAGAAATCTTCAGCCCAGTACCTAAAGCACCTCATCAAATGGGATTTAGATACTTCTTTTCCTTTGAGAGTCCCCTGTGCAAAATTGTTAGGGTGGTTACCCGAAGCTTTGCAGGGCAGAGACCTTTGGCACCTACCCTGTCCCTAAAACGCTACCTCCGCTCCCCCACACCATATACACCCACACTCAACCCTTCTTCTTCCTGCTCCGAACTCGAAAGCTATAGAAAACCTGAACCCTCAGCCTCAGTTTGGTCGCTGGCACTGGTGTTATCTGGCGGCACTGCTGCTCGAATGGTTAGAAGCCAAGCAAATATGTATTTAACGGGAATTATGAAAATCGAAAAGTACAAGGTTCAACTTTTTGAAAAGCACCTTCTTTCCCCACATCAAAGGGCTCATTGATTTCTTGCTCAAGTTCTGACCGAAGTGGAGCTAAGTGGGTGAAAGGAGGGGAGAAAAAGATCAAATCTCATCTTAGGAGCTGTGTCAAGCTAGTACTTTATGGCCCATCCGAAGCTGACCATGAGACAATTCCTGAAAGTAAATATAATTTAATATGTCTGGCAAACGTTAGGAATCTGTCCGAGCATATCCTCCAGGTGAGAAACAGCTCTTCTTTTCCTTTGCTCCCTTTTTGTGTGTCCTTGAACTTTGTATTCCTTGAAATCCCAAGTAACTATTCACGTTAAGGAAGTGTTGAGGTGCTTGTCTAAGAAGATTGGCTCTGCTGATTTCAGCACTTAAAAAGGGAAACCGCTCTGTTGTTTTAACCACTTCAACACTCACCATCTCAGTTTATTTTCTTATCCCATTTAACTTCTGTTCAAAATCAAACAGGAAGCAATTAAGGTGAGCCTACTACAAAGCAACCCTCAAAACACGTAGCTGGGTCCCTAGTGCAGAATGGAGGTCATGCCCCGAAAATTTAGTTGAACGTATGTGGAAGGAACGCAGAGCCCATACACCGGGGTGACGACGGGTGTAAAAACACAACGCCTCAACTCCAGCAGATGACCATGGCCAAGACAGACATCGCTACCAGCACCTTCACAGAGCCACTGGTGGCAACACTGGTTGAACCGACAAAGCACATTAGACCAATGATCTCACCTACTTGAAACAAGAGGGGAGGGAAGAAACCCAACTCCCTACTAAGCTGCAAAACTATCTTTTCCTCTCGCCTAACTCTCCTTTGACTTTTGTCAGGTCACTGCCATGATGACAGGGAGAGGGATGTCATGGAAATAAGCATCTAATGACAACAGTGGGAGACAAAGCAAAGTCTTTACACAGGATTTAGCTAATTATATTTTGGGCAAATATTTATTTATCTAAAAACAAAATAAAAATCATTTTCAAAAGAAAAAACGTATTTAAATAAAAAACAAAATTGTGAAATGTTATGGCACAGAAGTTCAAGACAAGTATAAATCCAGTTGCCACAACTGTTGCGTATTAATGTTGCACATTTTTTTATAAAGACTTTATTAAAAGGTATTTACATGGCAATAAGATGTGTAAATATATACAGCAATCTGGGGACAACTTTTTTTTTGGATTCTCATATGAAAAAATGCCTTAAATACAAAATTTTAAAAGAAAAAAAGTTGAAGAGTTCATCCCCAAGCATGAAGAATGTCCCATCATCCCTTATGCCCAAAGTATCAATTATGAGGCAGTTTTGAGGTTCTGGCCAAACCCTTGGGAGATTCAGCCAAGGTTGTGTAGTCTCAAGTTAAATCGCACAGCATGCAGTTGCAATAGTTCCATACTCGATGGACTGGTGTAGTTCATGAGTGATATTAGAAACAATATTTTATCATAGTTTTCAGTCTAGTTTGGGTTATTCTAAGCGATGCCCAAGAGTTCCTATGCATAAGAGTTCCTTAGCTGCTCGAGTTTGTGTTTCAACTGTTCTCTCCTCCGCCTCAACTGCTCTTTCTCTGCGATCAGTCTGTGTTCGTCCGACTGGATGGAAAGAACGTACTCCGTTGCTTTTTTCAGGATGACAACCTTGGGCGCCTTTTCGTTGTTGGCCACCTCGGGTATCTGGTCACGCAAAGCAAAGAAACTCAGCTTCAGCTCGTTTCTCCTCTGGCGCTCCAAGACATTGTGTGTTCGCCTCTTGTCGTTCTCTTCCGAATCTGATGTGCGGGGACTCGAGCATTTTCGGTTATTGCTGATCTGTTTGAGAACTCTGCCACTGTCCAACTTTAGCCTTTTTGCAGCTGGGTATTCAACCTTGGTGGAAGGAGGAGCGGCATAATTGTGCTGATGGATGTTGACATGACACCGTTTGAGAACCAGTGGGCTGTGGTGGGGCTTACTGTGCTCTTCTGATGTGTCTGTGCTGGACTCTGTGCTGGATTCAGATTCGTTTGCTTCAGCTAATGTAACGACATCAATTTCCTCATCTTCCTCTTGTTCTTCTTCTGCAAGGGGAAAAAATAAATAAAAGACCTATAAGCTAGTCTGTCCCAATAGTCCCAAGACCGCTGTATTTATAAGGGAAGGTTACTCTGAGCTGCACAGCAAGGAACCCGTTGATAAACCCTTATTAAAACCATTCGAAGCTGCTGGACTCTGCTTTCCCCAACAGCCTTTCCCTTAAGGAAGCAACGCTTCAAGTGCAATAGGACTCACGGACCACGCTCCAAACCCCGGCTCCCTGATTTCAAAAGTTGCAAAGATCTTGCGTAATTCCGAGGAGCGCATGAAAGATAGCAGGAAAGTTTAACCTCGGTTGTCAGCAGTTCAGCGCAATAAAGCTCCCAGACTCAAGCTGCCCTTAATTAAGGATTTAGAAGGCTTTGGCCACGCCTCAAAGGAAAGCTTACTTAACACACGTGTATTCAGAGACATTTTCTGAATCTCTCTTGATCTGCTAATTTGTGGAAAATCCAAGGGGGGGAAAAAAAAAAAGGGGGGAGCTTTGAGTAGAAACTCACTTTCAAACCAAATTTATGAGGGAGCGGAACACGCTGTCAAATACCTAAGGAAGCATTTCTAAAACTTTCCCAGCCCCATTCACTCCTCTGCAGTCACTTTCACTAGCACCTCCCTGACTGCACATTCCCCCCGCGGCTCTCGGGCGGGAGTTAACTCCTTCCCGGCCCACGGCTGGCACCGGGAGCCGGCTTCACCGGGACACCGCGGCGCTGGAGACCGACTCTGACCCCGTTATGAAAGTTTCTCCCTCCCCCCCTCCTTTC